GGGACAGGGGTGGGGGAGGGCACAGATAGGGGCGGGGTGCATCCACAGTCTCCGGAGGCAGAGCCGCACCTGACGCAGGGCCTCTGACTCTAGGCTCTGAGTCATGAGCTACATCGGGACTTGCCTTTGCAAACAGGGTTTACTCATCTTACCTAAGCAGGTCACCTCAAATGAAACCTCAGGGTTTGCTGGGGCTGCGCTGGGAGCCGGGAGCCAGGCCCGTGGCTCCCTCATGTCACTTGGTTCCAGCATCTTGGGAAGTACATGTGGCTAATGGCCTGGGTCGGCAGAGCTTAGGACAAGGGACAGGCCAAATTTGAGAATAAATGCACAATCATCTGCATAAAAGGTGTGTGGAGGACCGTTTTAAGTCCTACAAAAGATGGATACTTTATCCTCAGGTGCATTTGTGATTGTGACTTAGGAGGAGGTCCCCACGAGACTGAAGCAGCAGAACACCCCCAAACCTACCTCTTCTGCCCTGCCTATTGGTGTCTCCTGGATGACAGTTCGGCATTCGGGGGCAGCAGATACAGAATGGAGACGCTATGGTTGGGAGGTGAATCCCGCATTTCTGTGTGTGTGTGAGCAGTCACTGGATGGTTTTCTCTAGGATGTTTGCCGGGGGGACAGCCCAGGAAGACAGAGATGGTGTCCCCCTCTGGGGCAAAGGGTGGCCAGCCCTTATAAGTGACTGGGGTTTCTCAAGCTGGGTTGCCCAGCTGTGACCCAGCCCGTTGTTCATGCATTCTCTGTCACCCTGGGAGACCTGAAGGCAAGGGGAGCGGGGGTGCGCCTGGGGCCGTGCTGTGTGCTGTGGGCTCTGACCTCGAGCGTCGTGTCTTCGCACGCACAAGACTGTGCCAGGCTGACATGTTAGCACACTGTCCAAATCTTCGCCCACCCAAACAAACACGCAGCCTGAAGACTGTAAGCAGATCGACACTCGCTCTGTGTGGTGTGCTAGACAGAAGAATGGGCTCTCAAATTCTCGTCCCCAGAACCCATGAGTGACAGAGGTGAGGTTCAGGCTGCTATCAGCTGGCCCTGAAATAGGGAGAGTATCCTGGGACATCTAGGTGGGCCAATGTCACCACAAGTGTTCTCAACAGTGGAAGAGGAGGTGTGGGGGGTCCGTGAGGGGAGAACGTGGGGCTCGGCCCCCTGTGGCTGGCTCTGAGTCTGGCGGAAGAGCCAGGAGCCCAGGAAAGCAGGGCCTCCAGGCTCCGGAGGAAGGCAGGGCTCTGACTGTCCCCGAAAACCCCCAAGAATGCAGTCCCACCGACACCTTGACTTTAGCCTGCAACACCCACCTGGGACTTCTGACCTCCAGAGCTGTGGCCTAAGGGACGGCCATCTCACCCCAGCAGGTCTGTGCCACGGGGTCTGTCACACAGGGGACGGGGCGCGGCTGGCTGTGGGTGTGTTCGGGGCACCCCCCCTGTAGCCAGGGGCAGAATGTTCACGTGTTTCCTGTCGGCTCCGGAATCCCTGAGGGTTTCAACACCCGTGCCTGTGTGGTGAACCTGAAGGGTTTCAGGGAGCAAGTTCCCTCCTCTGCTGGGGAAGCAGAGCCCAGAAAGTGGTGGCAGAAAAGTGTGAACGTGTGTATGTGTCTTGCTTGTGGGTACATGCTGCTCAGGAATTGACCAAATGGGAAGAAGAAATTAGGTTGGAGAGCTGAAGGCGAAGAGCATAGCTTCTTGTTTTATTTCTGTATAAAGAGGAGGTGGGCATGAGGACGCCAGGTGGCCGTGCACAGAACGAGGTACAGCAGGGACGGCCTCCAGCAGCCCACCCCGGGCCACCTGCTCCACCACCGACACACTGTTGGCTGTCTCCTGCCGGCACCCATCCCATCACGTGGCCAGGCTCCATGCGGAGTGCACACATGTACACGGCACACACATGCATATCACACACGTGCACACATGGATGCCACAATACTCCACATGCTTGTACAAGGCACACAGAAATACACAACACACAGGCACGTGCACACACGTGTGCACACACATACTACACAGGCCACATACAGATACACATATGTGCATGTCTACATGATACACCACACATACATGAGTATATAACCACACACACCTGCACATGTGTGTACACACAGGCACACAACACACACCACAGATGCACAAATATGCTCATACCACACACATGCACACATGAATAGTCACACATGTGCACACACCACCCATGCATGCACATGCTCACACACATGTTCATCCATACACCACACAACACACATGTGCACACACTGACACACGAGCTACACATGCATGTACACACATGTTCATATACACTATACAATGCATGTGTGCACGCACTCGCACGCCAGCCACACATGCACGCACACACAGATGTTCATACACACTCTACACAATGCACGTGTGCACACACACAAGGCACACATGAATGCACACACACGTTCATACACACACTACACAATGCACGTGTGCACGCACTCACACGCCAGCCATGCATGCACACACACACATGTTCATACACACACTACACAATGCACGTGAGCACGCATTCGCACGCCAGGTACACATGCATGCAGAAGCTCCAGCAGGCCCACACACACAACTCTCAGTGTGGAGTGGATGGCCACACTGTCCCACCTTCCCTACGAAGATGCCACCCTGCAGCCACAGGGTCTGGCAGCAGCCCGAGCACGGAGTGAGGGGATATGGGAGGAGCAAGACACTTATCTGCAGACTATTATTGGCAACCACACAGAAAGGCCAAAAATTATTGTTATCCTAGAAAAAGATTACACTTCATAAAACCCATGTTTATTCAAAAAAATCTATTCAGAAAGTCTGGAAAGCGTAATAAATATCTGTATAGTGGCCGCCCATCTCAAACATAAAATACAAAGCGTGAACATAAGAATGACCTGTAAACACAGATGCGGGCTTGTAAACAAAGTGCTGAGTCGGGGTCTGGTTGGAAGCGTGCTCCACGGGCGACCAGCGGTGGCGAGTTCGAGTCTCCCAGGTTTCCTCCCGAGCTCTGCGAACCCACGCTGGATACTCCTCCAGTCTTCTCTCCACCCAGGGACCTGCAGTGTCCTTTTCCATTCTAGTATTTTAAGGACTCTTGGAGAGGTGAAGGGCAACAAAACCATTTGGAAAGAAAAAAAGAGTGCAAATCAAGTTCGTCATGTGCTTGAGAGAATCAGTCAAGTGTGAGGCAAAAGTCCCAACGTGCGGCTTTAGGAGTAACACCATTTAATGAACAATACTGGCTAACATTAAGTACTATTATCACTTAAAATGCTGGACAATCTTCCAGGCATCAAAACACACAAAGTTATATTAAAATCACGGACAATCTGACCTAAGGATACAGGTGAAATCTCATTCTTGCCCAAATTTGACTTGGGGGCGGCATCTGGCTGAGCCCTCACTCTGGTGGGGTGAGTCAGGTGTTCCTGTCAAACAGGGGGCCTGCAGGTGGGGCAAGACCACAGTGGGCTCCCTGGGGGGACTGTGGGGCAGTGGGGGAGGAGGCCCGAGGGCCAGGGCTCGGTTTTCTCACAAGAGTCTGTGGCCTATGATCCAGAGGGGGGATGGTTCCACGGTCTGTGGGGCTATGATCCCGGGG